CAGATGTAACATCTTCTAATTTTTTTAAGGGGGCATTATAAAACCTGTGGATACGAAAAATGACCATTAGAAAAGAGATTGCAGCAATTTCCAAAGCATCCCATCAAAAAGTAATTGTCAATTTCCAGAAGAAATGAATCAAATATTTTTTACATTCGATTAATCTGCCTGCTCTCTTCTAATGATCAGCAAAAGTGAATAAGAATAAAAAAATTAAAATGTTATATTTTCCTTAAATAAGGATTCTGCTGTCAGTTTTCAACATAAATTCAAATTAAACTTACTTTAAAATTAATAAAAATATCTTTAATTAATACAAAAAAACAACCCAGCACAGTGGGATCACGGCACAATGGGGACATGGCATAGTTGGGTTCAAGATTATATAAAAATCTGGTTAAGATACTTTTTATTTGAATAAGGAATATTTTTTCAATTTTTAAGGGTAATATCATTAACTAAATACGAATTGTAATCATTTGACGTATTGTTGATAAAAGTAGGTCAAGTGAGGGTTGGCAAAATAAATCTTAGCCACAAAAAAAAACACATAGTAAAATAATATTAACATGAATAAGAAATTTCTTCTCACGAGGGGAGACTATAGTGATGGGATCTTTGATATTTATTGAAGTTACTGAATTTAAATAAGATAAAAATCAAATGATTTAAAAAATTTTTTCTAACTAAAAAAAAATGCAAAATGTTAATAGCCACAGGCGGATGCGAACCTCGTACCCTAGACGTGAAGACACAAGTGTTACCGATTCGGCAACTATTCGTTGCTTTCGTCGCATGATAAAATTAGCAATTTAAGCTAACAAGGGGAGGTCACGGTGATGGGGTCATCGATTTTCATAAAATTTATATAGACCTAATCTATATTGAATACAGAATCAGACGTATTTGGAATTTTTTGCCAATGCCCCCCCTNCTTTATTCTATGTCAATTAAATTATAAAATATAAATATAAGTCAGTTTATTGCCCTTATAAGTTATTTTAAAATAAAATAAAATACAAAACCTAGAATTTTAACACAAAAATAGCATATTTTTGAATACGGTAGCCATTTGCGCATGGAAGATAGGTCGTCGGGATAATTTTTTTTTTTCATTTTATAGTATATGATATAACATTTGATTTAATATATGTTTAAAGGAGGCAGTATTTCCGGAACATTTTCAAAAGTTAGTTTTTGTAAAAAAGTTGCTATTTTAAATCTCCCCCAGTGAGTACGTTAAGTTTTAAATTTTCAAAAATATGATATCAAATGAAAAAAAATGTAGTCATGATATTGATTAATATCAAAATTTACTGTTTAGTCTTTCTGATTTTTATATTCATTTAATACTTATGAGTATGAAAGTAAATAATAATATAATAACAGATTTAATATAAAAGATAACAGTTTTTGAAGAAAAATTAAAATAAATATAAATTTATTATTATTCTATAAATTGTATTTTATGGATAATTTGTTCAAAATTAATTCTGAAATTTATTTTTATACCTGATTATTTTTTATCATGGTTAGTAAAATTAAATTTTGATCATTATTAGATTGATTTACAATTTGACTTTTAAATATTTATATATTAATTTACACAAGATGTAAAAATGGATGTGAAAGGAGGTCTCCTTAACCATAAAGTGGTAGCATAAGGGAGGGAGATTACTAAAAAAAGTTAATAAGTATAATATACCTATATGTTGGTTCATTAATGTACAAAATAGAATAAATACTTTTTATTCATAATATAAAAAGTCATTATATATCAAATTAGGTTAAAATAAAAATACATTATACAATATTAATAATTTTTGACTACGATATTTTTTTAAAGAAATTCTTGTGTCAAAGCAAGAGGTGATCCACCATCACCCCCCTTTTGTAAACGCCTTACAGCAATCAATATTTTACAACATACTAGAAACACATTTGAATCCCACGTCTGCTATTTTCTGAGCCTTTTTTAATCAAACTTTAATTTTAATGATTTGAATTAAATTTTAACAATTTGGATGGAACCTTAATTTTGGGGAACCGAAACTTATTTTCAAAAACCCGAACCTAACTGAACTTATATTATTAAAAAAAAAACCCTAACCTGGTACCTTCAAATATTTTTTTAAAGAACCCGATCTGGAACCTATAAAAAAACATGATTTTAGCCCCTATTTCAATTAGTCATGTATAAAATCAAACAAAAATATATGACTTAGTATCATTTCATTGTGTAAAGGTGGACAAATCAGCAAAAATATTTGAATCCAGTCTGAATTCGATGTTATAATTGGTTTTAAAAAAATTCTCCTAAAATTCTGCCATAAAAATAAAATAATTTGTATTTCTAAAATATTTCTATACAACAAGTATAGAAATATTTTTTAGAAAAGGTAAAAAATTATTAAATTAGAGCTCCTAAATATTTTGTTGCAATACGCCTCCTACAATCTAGTCAATTTAAGCGAGTACGAAATAGTTAACAGTGGACAATACTTTATGATTATACATAAATATACTGAACTCTTCTGTTAAAGTAGTTGGATTTAAACATAACTAACTCAAGTTAAAAATATACAGTCGATTCAGTAAAAAATGGTTGAGATATTTTTTTATTTGTATGAGGAATACCTGAAGTTATGTCAGTTATACATATACAGTTAAGTATTTTAATTAATAATCAACAAGGATTCATTTTTTCTCGTTAAATAGAAATCAAATATAATAATGAAATATTGAAAATGTACAATTTTTTTATAAGAAATACACACACACATATATACAGAGTGATTTTTTTATCATAACCCACTCAATTACTTACAGAGTAATAATAATTTAAACATTTTTTTTTTTTTTTTGGTTTTCTTTAGTTACATATTATTCTTGAATTATTAACTATGTAATACTTTTAGTTTCGAAGCTGAGAAGGTATTAATTTTACCATGATGTGTTTTTTTTTTTTGTGTTTGTCACTACTTTTTCTCAGCTCTCACTGGACCGATTTCTTTCAACAATACGTCAAAAGATCACAAATCGTATCTAGTTGAAGACATTATCCTTAAAAATTGAAAAATTTTCCCTAGTTCCCCGCAAATAGGGGAAATAGCCAAAAAAATTACAAATTTAAAAATCGGTAAATTTTGTCATTTTTTTCACTTTTTTTTTTTAAAACTACCATAACATTTTCAAAAATAAACAAATCAACATCAATTTTTTTTATACTAAAACCTTAGATATTTTCCTTTCATTTGATATCATTTTTTTGAAAATCTAACACTTATTCTGCTACCAGGGGGGATTTAAAATAGCAGCTTTTTTACAAAAACTAACTTTTTCTACTTAATTTTTGAAAATGTTCCGGAAATACTGCGTCCTTTAAACATATATCAAATCAAAGCTTATTTTATGTACTATAAAATTAAAAAAAAAAATTTGTCCCGACGACCTATCTTCTATGCGCAAATGGCTACCGTATTCAAAAATATGCTATTTTTCTATTAAAATTCTAGGTTTTGTATTTTAAAATATCTTATTAGGAGAATATATTTAAAGTCGAAAAAGTAATTTTTAAATTTGAGTTAGCTTAAATAGACAATTTTTTAGCTTCGATGCAAATTTTTTATATGTAAATACTAATTATTAAAATTTAGAAGTGATAGAAAAAGTCTAATTGCAGATTTGAAAACATCGCGAAAAGTTGATTGAGAATGGTATATTTTTGTTATTGATGAAAGTTCCTTGTAGTTCAGTGCATTTATTTATAGTAACAAACAGTTTTTATTGAAATTTATTGTATCAAGCCCTTTAAATTTTTATACACGTAAAAATAAAGCAAAATACAACTTCTTTATTATTTTTATAATTTCTCCGTTTAAATTACAATATTAAGTTATTGAATATTAATTTCATACTAAATTTAATAATTATAATTAGTATTTATTCATATATTATATTTTAAAATCAAAGAACTACTAATTAGGATATAATCAAAGAAATAAGAGTTGATGTTGCTTTTGGAATAATCCACCAATTTCTCTAAATGAAACACTATCTACAGATTTGCATCGAAGCGTTTCTTATGATAGTGATTTTAATTACTGTCAAATATCATCTATACTTGTCCCATCTATGCCTTGTCTACACTGTGCCTCGACTTTACTGTGCTACCGTTTAATATTTATATTTATCTATTGTTTTACTATTTAATCAGTAAACAACAACTATTAATTAAAATAGTATGTAATATGTTTAATTATTAGAAGTATTCTGTTTTAATAAATTATTATTAAATTTAAAAATATGAAAATTATTTTAATCTAAATAAATTGATTGCAGTTAAATTTGTTTTAAATGTTTTTAATTGATTTTTATCACTTATAATTATTTTATGATTTCGAATGATTTAAATTATATGTATACTAAATCATTTTATTCTATACAGGTGATTGATTTTGAGTAAGAATTTAATTTCTCAGAAGCTATTGATAATTTTGAACTTTTGTAAAGAAAAAAATATTTTAGATTTAGAAAACTGTACATTAATATGTAAAATAGAGAATTATAAGTTTTGAACCCTCTTTTTTGACTATTGATAATGTCGGAGTAAAAATCATCGTATTTGTGGTATCATATAGTCGGAGTATCTAATGTTTGAAACAATTACTACTTTGCCAAATGTCGAAGTATGTAAATATGGGTGCATTATCAGTTCATGACAAAGGTGTTTTCCCATATTATACTAGCTATTCCTATTTCAGATTGACCAGTTATCACATTGTTGATAATCACACATGTTTTACTATTATCAGAAAAAACAATGAATATTTTTTGAATAATAAGTTTTATTTCTATGTTTAATCATCATATTTTTACTCAATATCATAAAATTAAAAACTATAAATGAGTTACATGGTTATATAAATAACTAAATAAAAAAATAATTTAGAATCCGTAATGTAATAATTTTTTTTAGATATTAAAAATAAAGTTCAACATGTTGATAAATTAAATTTTTATTGAAAAGAAAAACAAGAGTTTTTCTGTTACATATGTAACATTATTTATAGATATAAAATAAAACAATAAAAAATATATTAGCAACATTATTCTTTATATTATTCTAGTTGAACTGATTGCATCCATTGTAATGCATTTTTTATTTCACATAATTTTGCTCTATGTAAAAATGATGTTATTAGTTGATACTCTGTATAGGTACGTCGTTTAGTATTGGAAGTTGTTATCATTGCTCCTCCTTCACATAATACTTTGGTTGTTAAACATAACAACCATTGAATTACCTAATGTAAATAAAACTAATAAATAAGGAAAACGAAGTAAAATAGGACAACTGATTATCTCAATACTTAAACTAATTATATTTGATACACATTTACCAATCTGTTTTGTATATTAGTACTAAAAGCATGTATAATTTAAATTTTGATATTTTTGTTTCTATATTTCATTAGCTATTAAATTAAGACTATCCATATGGTAAAATACTTATCATTATACTAGTTAAAAAGTTAATTTTTTTTTAACTTTAACTTAACTAATTAATTATATTTCTAATAAACTTTTAAACTTAATTGATTTAATTTTCCGTTGAAATAACTTAGTTCTTTTCAGTTAATTAGTTAATATAATATTTAAGTTAAATTTAAAATTTCATAAAAAAAATGTCTATATATGCGTACATGGTTTAATTAAAAAAAAAAAAATCGAATTTTCCTCATCCCAAACATTATATTTATAACAATAAATATATTTTTCTAAATTTTTTTTTAATAATGTATATGATTTTTAACTGACTTTTTTTAATAACTAGTTTTAAAGATAAAACAGTGTAACCAACACCAAAATGTCCAAGACTAATAAAAAAAATGTTTATTATCTTTAATATTTTCTACCTATTCAGTTTTAAAAATTGACTCTAGCTTTCCTTTGCATCATCAACTAATAAAAAATGTTTTAAGTGAATTTAGCCAAAAAATTGACTATTTTTAACTAAAATATGATACTTTTATACACCATTTGGTGTCTATTAAGTTCATAGAACAGTTGAACAAGGTATAAAATATTTTTTATTTAATTTAAGTTATTTATTACCAAAATAAATATTTGGTAATAAATTCAGGCATACCAAAGAAGTTGAGTTGCATAAAAAAAAAAAAAGATTATTATGTATAATTTTAATTTGGAGATGTATTTTTCTCAATATTTTGCTTTTTTGAGCTTTAAATATTGGTCTAAGACAAAGAATGAAAAAGAATTTTTTTTTAAATATGTAATTTCTATATATTTTATTCTGAATATTATTTTGTATTTTTTTGGTAAGTTATTGAAAAAAGTAAGTAATTTAAAAAAAAAAAACCAGTCAAATTTGAACCTTGAGCTTAAGTTGCAACATGTTAATGTTTTTGTTTAATATTAATGTTAAAAATGTTAATGTTTAATGTGTCAAAGACTTCGAAAATACGCCACATTCCAGACACCTTAATATATATAAATTCAGGATGATTCACTTATCATGAACTACTGATTAATCAAATAATATAAATAATTTTTTATTGATTTCTTTAAGTTTAATGTTATGTCACTTTATCAATCAATAAGTTTTTTTATGTACATCTCTTATGTTTTATAGAGGAGTCAACTATATTTTTTTAAATGACAACATGAAGAAAGTGTAAAAATAGTAAATGATTTTATTAAGAAAATGACTGGTCGATAACAAATTTTAGACCAGTATTGTGGAAGTTATTAGCATTTTAAATTATAGACTACAGCAGTAAAGCGCAGTTGCTGCTATTTTTATCATAAGATATTTCTCTATCTCATTCCTGCATAGGTATAAAAATGAGAATAAATTCTAAAGTGTTGACCAAAAGAGGTTATTTATCAGTCATATTCTTAATTACATCATATTTTTATTTTATAAGCTAGTTTAATATATATATTATAATTTAAACAAATAAAGTTAACACCCCTATAAGTTAGGAATATTTAGAACAAAGTGTAATTTGACACATAAAAAAAAGCTTTAGAAATAATTTGTAAAATTTATACTAGAATCTTTGGATACATTTTGTATTTAAGATTTTAGTAGCATCCCAAAAGTGGACTTCATAAATCCTAAAGGAATTCAGAAACAGTTTGTAAAGAAGTACTTTGTTTAGATTCATAGTTAATAATACACAAAAGAGACAAAGGTGATTGTTAGAGAGCACACTTTGTTGATACCCTTATGAGGTAAAAGGAATAAATATAAAGCACAGTGGGGTCGCGGCACAGTAATCAAATCTGTAAAAAATGTTTAATTTTAAAAAATTAACGGATTATTCCAAAAGCTATATAATCTTCTATTTCCTTAGTTTTATTCTGATTACAAGTTTTATGATTTCTAAGTGTAATATATCAATAAATATATATATTAATAATAATATATAAATATAAATAGTACTTATCTTAAAATAAATATAATGATCAATACATTTTTCATAAAGTTATAGCTATATAAAGTTAAAATATAAAAATGAATTTTTTTTATTATCTTTAATGTTTGTTTTCACCATGAACACAAAATAAAGTCGGAAATTTTTTTTTTTTCATATTAAAATATATCACATAAGGTTTAGTTTAAGATATGTATAAAAGTGTCAGAGTATCCGGAACACTTTCAAAATTTAAGTTAAAAAGTTCTACTTTCTTATGCATATTTTAGTTTTGAACCCTCCTTGTATATAAGTAAATGGTCTGATTTAAAAAAAAAGTATGTTAAATGAAAGATGTACATAAATACTATTTTTCATGAAAAAATTGTATTGATCTATACATTTTTCAAAAAGATATATAAATATAAAGTTAAACATGTAAAATATAAAATCCAGAATTTTTATACTAAAATAGCATTTGGTAGCCATTTTCGCCATGAAGACAAAATAAATTCCAATTTTTTTTTTCCCATAATAAAGTATATTACATTAGCAATAATTTAAGATATATATAAAAGTGTCAAAGTTTCTGGAAACTTCTAAAGTTAAGATGAAAAAGTTAATTTTTTGTGAAAAAGTTGTCATTTTGAATCCCCCCTGTGGGCAGGTAAAGGGTCAAATTTATAAAAAAAAATATACAAAATGATAGGTAAATACCTCATGTATACATATAAAAAAATAGTTATATTGATTCAGTCATTTTTAAAAAAGTTATGGTAATTATTGAGGGTAATGTCTTCGACTAGATACAATTTGTGATCTTTTGACGTATTGTCGAAAGAAATCAGTCTGGTGAAAGCTGAGAAAAAGTGGTAATAGACAAAAAAAAAAAAAAAAAAAACGTCATAGTAAAATTAATACCTTCTCAGCTTCACGTCAAAGCTAAAATACTTCATAAATTGAGAAAAGTATGTAACTAAAAGAAAAATATATCTCAATATTATTTTTATTTTTCAATAAAATAAGTAGTTCATGATAAAGAATAACCCGTATAAGAATTTTTTATTTCTAATATGCAATTTATTTCTAAGATTATGATATTATATTTTTCTATTTTTTTCAAAGTTGTCTTATTATATTTTAATAAAAGAGATATTAGTATTGTTGCAGTAGTCCAAAATGTGATATGAGAAGTTTTTTTATAACATAAAAACCTTATAAGATAGAGTCATCATAATTTTGTTATAAACACAATTATTTTTAAGTATGTTTATATTATTTATTTACTAAATTTACTAGTCTTTTATTAGATGAATAATTTGTTTTCCTCTCATTTGATTACCCCCTTTGGATGTGCATAAAAGTACAACTGATTTGTACCTACAATGAACATAACATGGTCTAAATTAAATATACTATATTGTAGTCAGTTTACATAATGATACCGTGTTAACAATATGATATAACTATTTGATAAATAAAAAAAAGCAAAAATAATACCTCATTACTAGTTGGCAACACATATTTTGTGTACCAAGAAGTTGGAGCCCATAAGTATAATTGACACACAGTTGCAGCAAATGTAGCATCAAGTCTCTAAATTTGTTTTAAAATTAAAGACAATAATTATACATTTGTTTGCATTTAATATTTTTTTAATATAATTCTAACCTTAGACAGTGACCTTTGTAAAATTGAATAAATTAATGCCCTTATAATTAAGGGAATTTCATTTCCAAGTTCGGGTAAATCTTTTTCTTCATAAGTTGCATTGCGTAATAGGGGTGATTTACCTTTTTGATAGCTGTAAAATGGATTACTGCCTGAAAATATTTCATAAGCTATTGCTCCTACTGCCCACACATCAGCTTTGGAGTAATTTATTCGTCCAAATGTTCCAGGTTGAGCTGTAATAACCTAAAATTGGAGAAATGCTTTTAAAAACTAAATCAATAGTTATTAAACTTGGTAAGTTGCTAAAATTAATATAAAGAAAGACTGAAATTTTATTTATTTAATAATAAACAGACAATAAAAAAAAAAAAGTAGTATCAACAATTATTTTTTTCATTAAGTATTTATAAAATTTATATAGTGGTTCAACATTTTTACTAAAAGGAAAATCAACGATAATAAAGTAAAAAGTTATCAATAAAATTATACATAATGATAGTATAACAAAGTTTCAAGATCAACTTATATTATACTTCCTTTTTTATAACTCAAGTATAACATTTTTACACAGAAATAAATGATTAAAGATGTTTCATTCTGTTAATAGAAATTTATTTTGTTTTATTACATAAATAGTTATAGATCTCATTTTTATAAAAATTCCTATGAAATTACTCCCGCTTTCCACAGTAATAAATTCTGTTTAAATTGATTTATTGAATAAAAATTGTACCTCTGGTGCCATTAGAGAAATATTTCCACCACGATCTGTTTCACATGTTTTATAAGGCATTTTAAGACCATTATTTTTATCAGCTAAACAACATCCAAAATCTGTGACGGCTAAAGTTGGACACACATCATTATTTTCAGGAATTTCTAAAAGAATATTATCAGACTTCATATCCCTACATTATTAAATGCAATAAAGTACAATTACTTTTTCAAAAATTATTATAAAATACATTCAATAATTTAATTTACCTATGAGCTATGCTATTGTTTGACATATGAGTAACTGCTTCCAATAATTGAGTGAATAATAGAATTCTATCTCTAAGTTTAGGTGAGTATTCTGATAAATATTTGTTTAGAGTCATATCATATCTTTTAGTTAAAAAACAATTATATTTAATGAAAAATATATATTATTATGACAATATTTATGTTAAAACAATTACTTTTTCATAACAATAAATAAACTCATATTTCTACCATAACCTTCAGGATTTATTCTGCAAGGCAAAGCTTGAGGATAAAGTGTATGAGCATCTTCTAAATCTGGAATATAGTCCGCAAAACACATGTGCATTTCAACAATATTAGGATGAGGTGGTAATCTGATTATATCTTTTTCAAAACTGAAAAAATATATCAAAATTAGACTACAATTAAAAACACTAAAATAATATATAGTAATAATTGGTAGTCTGCTTGTTAATAATTTTTCTTTAATTTCTTCCCTTTTTTTAATAATAAGTAATTTCAAGCCAAATAATGGTTTAATGCCAAATTTTGACATGAAACCAATATTTGATTACCTAGGATCATTCAATGATGAAGATGGGAATAATTTTTTCTGTACTCTATTTAATACAATATGATTATAAACTTATAGTGTTGAATAAAGTTCAGATATAGTTTAATATCTAACTTGCTTAACAAACTTAAGTTTAGTCAAATGTATATACAAAATAAGTTATATACATGAACAACCAATATCTAATTGATGTGTTTAAATTGAAATATTTTAAACACTATGTAAAATTGATTTTTTTTGCTTAAATGTAAGTTTAACTAATTTTTGATTGAGACTTATTAAAATGCAGGTATGAAATCAGTTTAATTAGCTATGTATTTTTATTAAAAAAACAGTCAAATAGACATTGGTATTACTAGGAAGCTATAAATACTAAGGTTTTTATTGGCCTAGCCTAAGTAAAAAATTACTTAATTTTTTTTGATCATACAACCCTATTCTTCCATTAAAAAATTCTATGTAGTCCACCACATATAGGAATTTTTTATGTTGATTATTCAATGAATATAGTTTTTACATACCCAAAAAGCAATTGTTGATCTGTTTTAGAACTATTCTGAATACATCTTGATGGAACTGTTTCTCTGTTCATAGCTTTCAAAATAGACATAGCATTACTTTCTGCATCATAGTTAAACATCATTTTTATGGCTAATGGATATTTAATTGATGATGATTTTATGTTCAAATTTGAATTATCATTATCTGTAAGGTGAATTTAATTAATATAATTTTACTATAAAATTAACAATCTGCTATACCAATAATTTATAAAAATTGGTATTCTTTGGGCCATAGTAAGTGTTATTTGGAAAAAAACATGCAGCATTCAATATTTAGAGCTACATTAAGGGTTTGTGCTGTCTGCTATTCCCAATGATCTTTTTTTTTTGTTTTGCTCAACAAATTTATAATTTATATTACTGAATATTTGATAAGTATTTTCTTTATAAATGCTTAGAATATAAGAACTTAGTGTTCCTCCCTAGACGCACTCTTGAGAATATTATACACTATTAAATTTTCATAGAGAATAAATTACAAAAAAACTTTACTTTCTTCAATGGTTTTTCGAGCCTCATAAACCACTGCATTATTTCCCTTAGCAATAGGAACTCCTAAAATAAATTGCTTTAGTCCCAATGATGGGCTTAAATTTAGACATTCAGCAACAGATAAATTTTTTTGTCTTCTCTCAACAGCTTCCTGTAAAAGGCAATATTTTGAGAAGGGTTAGCAAAAAGATTTAACGGTAACAATGAAAAAAAACAAACCCTGATTTCCCAGCAAACCCCTTCTAGTTGGTATTCATTTGTTAAAACACCATTACCAGATGCTAAACTCATTCCAACCAACGCAAAAAAAGGGCGTGAATTACCGTACATAAGCTGTCTTGTAGTTCTTTTACGTAAATCAGTAGAAAGAGAATTTGTCACTCTATTTAGTAAACTGTCAATAAATGCTCTTCGTAAAATTTGACATCTGGATTGCCAACTGGAGCTTGGAGGTCTCTGATTATTTATTGTAGTTTGTAGCGCTTGGGAACCAAGCGCATTTTGTGAGGCCAATCTAGTTCTAATGAGAAATAGGTTTTTGGTACGGCGTACACGTAAGAACGCCGTACCATTTTTATAAAAAGTGTTCACAACCAAACGGATAGACATTCAAAATTTTATTATGTGTAACAATAATAGAATCAATTTAAGTTAAAAAAATAGAACGCTTTGATTGTTTTCATTTTAAAAATAGAATAAGGAGAACGCTGATGAATGACATTGTTTGATCTCCTCTGTTTTTATTTTCATTAATGCATGACTTCAGCTCATGCGCCGGATATATTACTAAAATTTATAAATAAAAAAAAAATTACAGTATTACCTTGCTTAACTGCAAAAATAAATATTTGGTATGATCACTGATAATAATAAAAATGATTAAGTAAAATCATATGATGTTTCAAAGCAGCTATTCATACACCAATATGGGAATTATCTTAATAATATATAACCATGGTCCTGGTTTAGTTGCAAATACAAAAAATATTTTAGTCCTTTTGATTGGTAGAAAAAAAGCTAATACCTTAATGTTGTTTCTCATTATTTTAAACAGCTGTTCTTTGTTCCAAACCTATTACGTGGCCGATCATTCTAGAATATTCGATTACAAGGTTTTTACGCTAACACTCCATTTTGAGTCGCCATTTCATGACTAAACGCCACTAGTACATTGTTTGACAGACTTACGCTTATAACTCTCTTGAGGTTAACGAATTGTCTTAGTTTTTTGTATTTTAACTCAAGTCATATAATATCATTAACAAAAATTTAAAAATTCATTAGCGAGAGATATTCTAAAAGGTAATGTTATTAATCTTTATTATTTTATCTTTTTTATATTATAATTCTACTTTTACAATTTGCACTAAAACAAAAAATGGCGACGCAACGAGTTTATCACTTGTTTTTAATAAGTATTATTTTTCAAAATAAGCTTTTTTACTTTCACTGATTAAGTATAAAATCAACGTTTCAGGTTTTATAAATCTGTTTGTCGTTCTACATATGCATACGTCACAAAGGTTTATTGTTCAAAGTATATTTAAAATGACCTTTAATTGCGTCTTTTATTTATTATGCTCAAAAATAATTTCTACTAAAATATTAATTGAAGATAAAAACATTTAAAATTACAAACATTTCAATTAAATTATGTTGAACAACACGTCTATTATTATGTAAAGGATACGTGTAGAATTTCGTTTTGTGTAGTCTTGAAAACCTTCCGATGTTTAATTATATAAATAAAAAATATTTTATAAAATTTAATTTTTTTATAATAAATAATATTTAAGGTTATTTTTCATATAAACAAATTAAAAGAAAAATCATAAATAATATGTAATTTTTTACTAGTAGTTCCTTTTTATGTAATGCTAGTAATTAGTTTGTTTTGTGACCATGAAATCATTCAATTTTGTAATAACATTATCTACAGAGTGATCTTGGCTAAGACATTTATTTTTTAAGAAACTAATTATAATTGTAAATGTTCTTAAAGAGTTAATTTAACACGTTGATTGACAAAATCATATATTATTGTTATAGCAGTAATATTAAAATTTGACTTTTCTAAAAATGTCATTACTGATATAGCAGTAATATTTTCAATGATTTCTTATGAAGGAGGAAGTTGTTCTGACCCCATGCATCTGTCCATCAACTGTCCAACAACGTGTTAATAGATTCAAATAAATTTATATAATATGTTGTTAAATAATTTTCTCATCAATTCAAGGTTAAAAAACATCCAATATAATTTTCTTAAATGGGAATTCCCATTTTTAATTTATAATAGAAGAAAAATTACATACAATGTTCTTACCACTTTTTTTATCTAATGGATTGTTCATCCATTACAGGCATTTTAATACATAGTATATAATGCAAATGGGTACAGATTGTATTGGTTTATGTGCACTTAAGAGCCTTGCACGGGTTGGGTCAATCCCGTCTAACCCAAAATTTCTCCAGACTTTGATTACAATTAATTAACTGATTGGGGGTCATTGTGATTCTAAACAAAATATGAATTTGGATCTGGTCAAGTTATAATCAACTATAATGTTTTTTTGGATTGGTACAAAATTAATTTATGTTATCCAAAAATCTGACTGAGTTTGACTTCAAATATTTGTATAATATTATAATATTTATAATATGTTGTTGAACATCTTATTATACTAAATGCATGGAAATAAATAGGGGCATGTTCTGACTTGTAGAATCCCCTTGTATAACGTTAGCACCCCTAGCAGATTTCATCATTCTTTTCAAATTTTGTAAGAAATATAATAAAATATTATTTCATAAATGATAATTTTATTTTTTTTTTTTACTAATCTGTCTTAATAATATGAGTATGCAATGGCATTTGTGTAGAATGTATTTTATTTTAAGCATAATATGTTTTAATTCATACTACAGTGGTAAAAAAACAATATACGTTTTTGACATGATTGATATATTGTATATCACTAGATTATTTCTATAATAATTTATACTAGGAAAAAATTATGCGATAAAAACTTTTGAACCAGTAGTTCAGAAATTATAAATATTTTAATGTCTGGGCGGAAGGAGTAGTAAAGCAGAGAAGTATACAATGCTAAAAATAATGTAACCCACACCTTACCTCTAGTTAAATTTTAAAAAAGTTTATAATTTCTTAAATACCTACTGGTTAAACAGTTATATTGTCAACCAAACACTTTTTTATTTGGGTCATTTTCTATTAGAAATGTTTTATTAACTATTTTAAGTAATAAAATTTTTTTATGGATAAGTAATTTTTCAATAAGTTACAATACCAATAACATTTTATTAATAATTTATTTAAACATGACCACAATATTTATTTATTTGTAAAAAGTACATTCAAAATCAAACTAATAGATTTTTAAATATGTACTAGAAAAAATTACATATAAAAAACCCAGCACAGGGGGGTCGCGGCACAGTGGTGATGTGGCATAGTTGGATCAAGTATAATGATATCTGACAGTGATTAAAATCACTATAAAAAAAAAAAAACGCTTCGATGCAAATCTTTAGATAGTGTTTAATTTAAAAAAATTGGTGTATTATTCCAAAAACTACATGATCTGCTAGTTCTTTATTAATATCCTGATAAAGATATAGTATGTCAAATAAAAAGAGATTATTAAAAAATATTATTTCTCATAAAAAATTGTATTGATCCATATATTTTTCAAAAAGTTATAGCATAATAAAGTTAAAAATGTAAAATGCAAAATCGAAAATTATCACACAAAATAGCATTTGGTAGCCATTTCACCGTGAAGATAAAATAAAGTCCGAAATTTTTTTTTTTCGTGTGAAGTATATTACATTAGCTTTAATTTAAGATATATATAAAAGTGTCAGACCTTCCAGAACATTTTCAAAAATCAAATTGAAAAAATTAATTTTTTGTGAAAAAGTTGTCATTTTGAATCCCCCCTGTGGGCAGGTAAAGGGTCAGATTTATAAAAAAATATACCAAATGATAAGTAAAAACATCAAGCATCTATATAAAAAAAAATTATATTAATATGTTCATTTTTGAAAAAGTTACGGCAGTTTTTAGTAATAAAAATTGAAAAAATTTCGAAAATTAGCGATTTTTAAATTTGTAATTTTTTTGGAGGTTTCCCCCATTTACGGGGAACAAGGGAAATTTTTTCAATTTTTAAGGGTAATGACTTCGACTAGATACAATTTGTGATCTTTTGACGTATCGTTGAAAGAAATCCGTTTGGTGAGAGCTGAGAAAAAGTGGTAACAGACACAAAAAAAAATAAAAATAAAAAAAATAAACACATCATAGTAAAACCAATACCTTCTCAGCTTCGCATCGAAGCTAAAATAATTNTAAAAATAAAAAAAATAAACACATCATAGTAAAACCAATACCTTCTCAGCTTCGCATCGAAGCTAAAATAATTGAGATTAAATTATATAATTGGTAACTTCACTATTAACGTGACATAAAATATAAGAATTATGTCTCAATTTAAACAATAGAAAATAATATTTTAATTTATCATTATATTATAATTACTCAATTATTAATTATTAATTATTTTTACTTTTTAAAGGATCAAGATGCAAATTTTTGTTAAGACACTTACTGGAAAGACCATTACACTCGAAGTAGAATCATCTGATTCTATTGAAAATGTAAAAGCCAAAATACAAGACAAAGAAGGTATCCCACCAGATCAACAACGTCTAATCTTTGCTGGTAAACAATTGGAAGATGGTCGTACCTTGTCTGATTACAACATCCAAAAAGAATCTACACTTCATCTTGTACTCCGTCTTCGTGGTGGTATGCAAATTTTTGTTAAGACACTTACTGGAAAGACCATTACACTCGAAGTAGAATCATCTGATTCTATTGAAAATGTAAAAGCCAAAATACAAGACAAAGAAGGTATCCCACCAGATCAACAACGTCTAATCTTTGCTGGTAAACAATTGGAAGATGGTCGTACCTTGTCTGATTACAACATCCAAAAAGAATCTACACTTCATCTTGTACTCCGTCTTCGTGGTGGTATGCAAATTTTTGTTAAGACACTTACTGGAAAGACCATTACACTCGAAGTAGAATCATCTGATTCTATTGAAAATGTAAAAGCCAAAATACAAGACAAAGAAGGTATCCCACCAGATCAACAACGTCTAATCTTTGCTGGTAAACAATTGGAAGATGGTCGTACCTTGTCTGATTACAACATCCAAAAAGAATCTACACTTCATCTTGTACTCCGTCTTCGTGGTGGTATGCAAATTTTTGTTAAGACACTTACTGGAAAGACCATTACACTCGAAGTAGAATCATCTGATTCTATTGAAAATGTAAAAGCCAAAATACAAGACAAAGAAGGTATCCCACCAGATCAACAACGTCTAATCTTTGCTGGTAAACAATTGGAAGATGGTCGTACCTTGTCTGATTACAACATCCAAAAAGAATCTACACTTCATCTTGTACTCCGTCTTCGTGGTGGTGTTTTTAATTAATTCATATTGTGACTATTGATAATCAATTATACTGAATTAGAAATTATTTTTTGGCTCTTTAAAAAAAATACAATTCCATGTTAATATATGTTTAAAAATAGTATTGTATTGAAATAGATTTCAAATTAATAGTATTCTTTTGATTTAGTTTTTAAAGTTATTTTTTATTTTTAATTTTGGGTAATTTTGTCTAAAGTTTGTAATTTTTGTTCATATTTAGTTAATAATTTTGCGTGAAAATAGTATATCCCTTCTATGATTAGGTTTTATTTTAAATGTGGTCAAATGATTATTAATTTTAGACTTACTAAAATTTATTGCTTATTTAATCACTTAATATGATAATTTTGCTAATTTGAGATCTCCGTGTATACATATTCCTATGCTAGTAACTCGAACTCGTATAGAATTTAAAAAAAATTTTATCTACATTTATAAAAAATTCTCATTAATTGGAATTAATAATATCGTATTTAAGGGCTGCGCATCATTTTTACATTTATTATTCCTAATTGTTAGCTAATTAATGGTAATTTATTAATTAAATATTTATTCTTTGTAAAATGAGTACTAATAAGAACTACTAGTAGTGGGTTTAGTTTCTAACCCCTTGTGATTTGTTTATGGAGAAGAAATTAATTTCTTAAAAAAAATCTAAAATTTTGTAACTTCCAATTACACAAGTCAAGTCACAAGGGTAATTTTCTTTAAAGAATGTTTTATTGATATGTATTAAACGCTGTCTCCCTTTTTTTGAACAAGTGAGTGGATTTAATAATAAATGTTTTTCTATGAGACATGTTATAAAGTATTCCTAAAATATTTGTTGTGTACTATTAAATAGTTAATGCTATTTGTACCTTAGTTTGCATCTTTAAGGCTAGTCTTGAATTTATTATCCCTAATAATTTCCTAACAAAAAATTGTTTAAAACATCCCAAGAAATATCTTCCTGTCATTTATACATTTTTGGCTAGTTTTGCTATTGATATATTTTTATAAACTAAGACAACTTATTGCAACCTTGTTCCTTTTTGTTGTATCATAACATTTATAATGTTTCAATGATGAATTTAAACAGATTAGGTCATAGTACTTAATAAATTTAGGGAAGTTATCTGAACCTGTTTCTTTTTTTTGAGTTTTCTCCTCATAATTCCAAAATGTCTACTTAGCACATGACGGAAATTGGTCAAGTATAACAAATAAAGCATTAGTGCTACTAATGTAAATAGAATTAAAGTCCACGGACTTTAAAGCAAACTTTCAATCAATATATATATCACTAATATGATTTATTTACGAGAAATGTTCTTATTTTGATTAAGTCAGTTAAAACAAAAATAGGACATTTGACGTTTTTTAAGTATAAAATAATTCAATTTTTACAGAAATTTTTTAAAACTTGATCTGATGTAAATTTTAAAAGGGAATTAAAAAAACGGAATGATGTATTTTGTATTTACATTTATTAGTATACAAGAACTCGGACTGGTGACAAAATATTACAGTATTAATATAATATATGGTCGGTTCTTCAAAAATTAAAGAAGACATGTCTAATATAAGAAATATATTTAATTTACTTATAAAAAAACGGTAGCACAGTGGGGTCGAGGCACAGTGTGGACGAGGCATAGATGGGACAAGTATAGATGATATCTGAC